TTCCCTCCCTCTCCCGGCAGCTCCGAGTCTGGCAGCCGGGATCCCCTTCCCGTCCCCGCCAGGGGACAAGGGCCTGGGCAGGGGGGCCTGGCCAGCTGCAGGGTCCCAGCTCGCTCTGTGCACCCACGTAACAAATCCTCAAGGGAAGGAGACTTTGGGGCTGCCCAGGAGGCTCACGCTCCTCAGAGGATTTGAAAACTAAAGTCACGGGTGGTTCTGCTTTTAAAACATAGTAATTGGCAAGTTTGTGGGAGAGAACCCTGCCAGGACCAACACTGCCGGTATTTAACCCTCCAGTGACCAACAAAGTTCTCAGATTGGGCCCTGGGGGAAGATGACAACTAGTGAATCCCTTCCCTTACTCTCACCTGGGCTTCGGGGCTGCAGTTCAGGGAGGAACCAATGCAGGCTCTGATCTACCAGGTGTTGCCAGTCATGTAGGAAAGGCTGAAGGTCCTCAATGCCCAAAGCACTACTGAGACTTAGGTGCAAAAAGGGAAACATAAGATAACTTTATGCAAAGATGAAGCACCCAGCAGCATTTAAAAGAGACCACAGGAGCGCTGAGCCTGAACACCTTCTTGCAATCACCAAGAAAACGTTATTTTTCCTTTTCAGAGAAAAAAAAGACTAGACTAAAAGGACTAAACCAGACTAGCTGTATTGATTCAGGGATAGAAACTGTTTGTTCTGTGCTCCGCTGCTAATGCAAAGGTTTGCAGGCTCCGGAACCGAGGGATGTTGATCCAAACAAGCCAGTCCCAGAGAGCTTCCCTGCTGACCTGACACCAGCGCTCCCGGCCTGCTCAGACTGCAAAGCACCAGGCCGGGCTCCGGCTGCCTCGGCTGCTTGTGTAGGAGGGAGCCACCTTGAAGGGAAATTTTCCTTTCTCCAACCTGTTCTTGAGGAAGAGCTGAGCCGCATCGTAGCCCCACCAGCTCCATCACAGTGGAAAGGGTCACGACAGCAACGTGGCAAGCAGACCTCTGCCCTTGCATGCCAGTGTTGGTGCAGCAGCAATCCAGGGCGAGCTCCCCCAAGACCCGCAGCACCGGGCACCCTGTGCCCAGCCTTCCGTGGGGCCACGAAGGTCTGGGGGCTGCTGTGGGGCACCAAGGCAGGCAGGAGCCACGTGCCCCAAATACAAAGCCTCCCAGGTGCCAGGGCTCAGGCACTGCAACACAGCGTCCTCCGCCCGTCTGTCGGAACCAGCCGGAGCTACGCGCTGGGCGTCTGTTCCCCGGAGTGGAGCGAGCGCAGGAGCACGGGGTCTGCAGGGAAGAAGCTCCAAAAGAGACGAGAAGGGAGGTCTGTGTCACGGAGGGAGGGAGCCAAAGGTTCCTAAGGATGTTAAGGGCCCCAGTCTCTCTTTGTAAATCACCTCCTGCAATTGCCCAAACACTTCAGGGAATTGTAGTAAATTTACAAATTTATAAGAGATGCTTTTACAGTGCTTGTTTAAAAATCAGCTATACATACAAACATGCTCTAGGCTCTAGCCTCGAACAGAGGCTGTTTGCCTGAGCACCAGAGCCCCGCACAGGGGCTGGCACCGTCCTGCCCCGCTCTGCTCAGCGGTGGTCTTCCCAGCACAGCACTTGGCCATCGTGCTTTATGGACCCACAGGCTCCGTGGAGCAGAGGATTCAGCTACAGGAGCCCCGCAGTTTCTTCTGGCATCAGATTAGTGATCAGGCTTGGTCTCATTTTTTCGTCTAGGAATAAGAACAAGGAAGGATGACAGACTTAAAAAAGCAGAAGTCAAAAAGACTAAATAATTGTCACCCAGGGAACAAGCGGCTCGGACATACAGGGCTGGGGAAATATAATTCTAAATGGTTCTTTTTGGTCCAGGATGACCCTCAGAGCCGACTGGGCTTTGAGTCTTGACACAGGTTTGTCCACGAGCAGCTCTTTAGGCCTTAGTACTTGGTATCTGCCCAACATGGGATCTCTGTGGGTCTGGCAGAAGCCAGCAATGAATTAGCACGAAGTTCGTGGGAAAGGCAGCGTAGCCCTGGCACGCACAGCTCCCGCGTGGCCCGCGCTTGCTGTGCACTTAGCTGCTGTAACTGAGTAGCCGTTGTCCTACATTATGTAAGAGTGGGGTAGTTTGACCCTCTCTGTGTTTTCTGTGGACAGAAAACAGCTCCTTGCAGGATATTTCTGTTCACCCTTATGTCACACCTGTGGGCGGCAGCGCTTTGCTGATCACAGGGACCGGACACGGGCCAAATCCCCGGTGACCTTCCCCGGGTGAGGACGTGGCACTCTTTGGGAGAAACGCGTGGAGCGGCATGGCTACCATCACCAGAAATCACCCCTTAGGGAGGCAGCATGTGCCCTGATGTCACTTGAGCTCACCTTGTTACCCTGGCCGTCCCTTTAATGCCATTACTGGAGATCATTACATGAGCAGATCCTCTGTGGACAGGCAATTGCTTGGGCTGCCCACACACCTACCTCTTTGGCGCAGAAGGTGTGACCTCTGGCGATGAATGCAGATGCTTCTGAATATACCTCCTCGATCTAATATCAGCCTGGAATTAAGGAGGAAAATGGATGACAAGGGACTCATGAGCTTGCTTGGTGTCCCCTTAGTGATCTTGGTTACCCCCCTGCCCTTCATGTGAGCACATCACAAATAGTCCTGGGACAACTGCTCTGCAAAGAGAAACCTGTGTTTCTTCTCTTGTTTGGTCTCTGTGTCCCACTGCAAGCTGGTTAGGAGACTAAAGACTTAAAATGGAGAACTAGAGGGTCCTGGGTTAAACAGCCCTGATGAGGTACAATTCATTTCAGAAGCGCAAATGATGTTCTCCGAATCCTGGCTGCCTGCCCCTTCCCTTTTCCAAGAACAAGGAGGTGACGTGGCGCGTAGAGGAGACAAGTGGCACGGCCCATGCGCGCCAAGCGTGGCTGCAGGATCCTTGCAGCAGCTAGGGTGAGAGCAGCCAGGTGTCTCCAAAGGTCTCTACAAGACCTGAAGGATGAAATAACACAGACGCGCTGCAATATGGTGAGTCCTTCCACAGCAAACACTGACCCAGCTGGAATCCTTGCCAGGCTGAGAACTGCAACAGCCTTTCTTACCTTGCACCAACATGGGTGGTTCCCAAAATGACCTCCATACATTTCAGGGATGTGACATTCAAGGGTTTGCCCGGGCTAAGCCAGAAGAGGTGGAAAAGCAGGAATTACTGAGGTGAGGGGCTGCTTTGCCACTGTGCTTTGCTCCTCAGAGCTGCAACCCGCCCCCATTTCATGAGCCCTGGCAGTAGAACCACGCTGGAGAAGAGCTGGAAGCCTGAGGAAGGTCTAGTGCCTCCATCTTTTGAACTGAGATGACTTTTTCCACACGTAGGGACAATCTAGAAAAGGGTAAGGAGCAACCAGGCTCCTCCATGGGCCGCCCCACGGCAGAGCCCGCTGCACAGGCACCGCAGCTCGGCGGCCGAGCGGTTCCGCCAAGGAGCCGGCCCGTGCACCCCTAAATGCTCATCTAGTTCTGGCCAAGAGGGTCTGGACCTTGACGGTACTCGAGGAAGCTTCACACAGATGGACCCTATGAACAACATGCCTCCAAGCTGAGGAGAAATGCAGCGTCTTCCTGAGAGTCTCAGGGCTCCCCAACGCCAGAAGCAATTCTGCTTTAGAGACACCGGCGCCTGTGCACAAGGGAAGGTGCCAACACTCGGCGTCTCCTTCCCACCGGACTAGAGAACAGCTCCTTGGAGAGGGATGTGCCTGGGGAGGCCCAGCAACACGGCCAGGAAAGCCAGAGGATGAGGCGAGGGACGAGGTGCCCCTGCCACCTCTGGACCTGCAGGTCACACTGCGAGCAGCTTCACTTCACCTGCTCTGGCAAACCAAGGAAATACCAGGTTTACAGCCCTGCGCTTAATCAGGGGGGCTGAGCAGCGACAGGGATGGCTGGGAAGAAAAGTTACCCCCAGGCTCTGCTGCGACAGCTTCGCTGCTCAGGCACTGAAACAGAGCAGGAGTCAAGAACCAGGAGAACTGGGGCTGCCAGCGGGCACAGGCTGCAGCCTCCACGCTCAGAGCACGCTGAGAGCACCCAGGTTTGATATAACATCCCAAACATCAAACTTCGGCAGGGGCTGCTCAGCTGAGAAACAGGGCTCTCCCCTCCACTGGACACTGGAAATCTGCAGGGGCAACAAGGCTATGGAAAAGACTGCGAAGAGCTTGGGAAGATGGAGATGCAGCAAACAGGATAGTTCTCAAGATGATATGAGGTGGAGGGAGAGAGGCTGGTACTGCCCATTCTGGAGCCATCCCTGTATCCATCCGTTTACTTCTTCTGTTCCAGCAGCTGCATGATGCAGCAACAGATGGAGAAGCAAACCACGAGTCTGCTGCATATCCCTTCCCCTAGGCAAGAGCTTGGCTCATCCCGCCTATGTGCCTTACAGGCTGGCTGTGTGATGGTAATTATGCAGCCAAAGCAGGTAAAAACATCCAATAAAAGCAAACAGAGACAAGACACAAGCACATCCTTGGCAGCACTTGTCATATGAACATGAGAGACATACCTTTCACATTGCCCTAGGTACAAGTACAATAGCAAGGCTGCCAAGCAGGCCAACAGAGACATGTTTACATGCCAGGCCACATCACTGCTAAGGCCCTTGGGCTTTGCTTTCCAGAGAACCCCTGCTAGGGACAGAAATCAGAAAGATTAAGACTGAGATTCGACCGTATTCACGACAAACTGCCCTCCCCCTGCTTCAAGTTCAGCTCAGAGCTGCTGCTAGACTTCATCAAACCCTCCTCGTGCAAGTGTCCAGTTCTTCCCTTCCCCTTCTGAGTCACTCTCCTGTGCCACGAGGCCTCCTAAGTCAGGGCAAGCAAAGATGGATTTACCTTGTTATTCCTACCTTTATAGGAATTGCTACCCCACCAAAAGCTCTGGGGGGGCCTTATGTGCACAAATAGTATCCCAAGCAGCCCCACCTGGGGCCTCCACCCACACCCTCTGCCCATGGCCTCCAATTACGTTTGGGCCTAAGGGCTCAGTCTGCAGCAACACAGAAGAGCGTGTGGACTAGGAAAACACCAGCAGACATTCCTGGAACATGCAAAGCACTGCTGGGCATCTAGCTGATGCTCTTGTTCCCCAGGAGTGATACTGGTCAGCTTTCCAGTGCTATATCACATCAACCTGTGACTCTTGGATGCTTTCACAAATGCGCAGATCCCAGTCTCTAGGCAAGCTTCCAGCACTGGCACTTTTTTTACATTGTCCCAAGGTTTTTCTGTGCCAGAAAATTCCTTTCTCAAAAACACTGCTACAGGGTGACATTTCAGAAAAGCTGCTGTGCCCCACCTCAAAGACAACAGTATCTGTCTCCCCGTAAAAAGCAGTTTGTGACCTTTCCATCTGGAAAGGCTTCACAGCGTAGGATGAGCACGCTAGTAAAGCGGGTTAATACATCCCTAGTGCCTGTCCTTGAAGCACTCGCAACTCCTGTCGTTATTCTGCTTCCGAGGAGTCTCTCCCCTTCCTCCACGAGCTCCCCACCACCTTCTTCCCATCCCTGGCACCTCCCAGCCCGGTCTCTCATGGGGAGGCTCTGCCTGTCGCTGCTGGAAACGCAGCTCTGTAACCGCTTAACAATTCTGCAAGCTAGAGAAGGAAAAACACTTACATAAGGGGTGGTTTGTTTGGGAGATTTTTTTACCTTCTCTCTATAATTGGACAGTTTCATAACCAAACTGACAAATAACTCTGATCACTCTTCAGGATAAGGGGTTATGTGATGTATTTTATAAAAAGGGAAAGAAGTTGTTCAATAAAGTCCCTATTGGGAGACCAAGGTAGCAAGAGTCATATCTACAGACTATTTTTCTGGTGAAGAAAAATCCCAAACTGAGTTCTGCTGGTAACATAAGCTAATGCTTGATTAGGTGGCAAGTTACTGGCTCGCTCCTAACACAGAGCTGAGAGAGCTTAACCCAGCGTATTAACCAAGAGGCTAATCAATAAGATGGATAACTGTCCTGTAATAATCCTCACAGATTGCTTCTATTTTCAGAGGGGACTAGTGCTGGCATTAGGGCCTAGAATTGTTGCTTTGCCTATTTTATGAGGGAGCACTGGTCATCCCCAAGTACCCAGCAAGCTCGTAGTAGTAGGGGGCTGTGTCCTAAAGCCTTAAGAGCTTCAGGACGCCAGTGACCAATTTCCCTGCTGGCAGCACGAGCTATTTACACACAGCATAGAGACCATGGCCTGTTCTTCAGCCCTCAGTTGGCTAAGTGTTTAATGCTTTGTGTAAAGCAACCTGCAGCCGTTCACAGCTCTGAGCAGGAAAACTTCTGCCCTCCTTGGTGGGCGAGAACGACATCACTGCCCAGCAGCAGCACCCTGAGCCAGCGGGAACGAGCCGGGCACGGTGCCAGCTGGAGCTCAGAGGATCATCAAGTGAGCAGGAGCCTGGTGTGCGGCCAGCCAGGCAGTTGAAACAGCAGAATTAGAAGAATCAGTCCCAGAGCAACCCTTGTCAGCTGGAGAGTGATAAGAGCTCCTGTTACTCATGCTCTACATGAGAGTCCTGGGTCCTGGAGCAGGGGCAAACAATGGAGCCGGGTTCTGATTCCTGTCAGAGATGGGTGAGGGCAGCTGCCTCAGGACGTGGGTTTGTTCCAGTGCTGCTGGTTTTAGTGTTTTGCTCATGATTCTGGGATGACAGCTCTTGCCTACCTCAATCCCTCTGTAGTTCTAAAAGAGCAAATCTCTGCAGAGGATCCTCAAAATCTGACAAACTGCCCAAGTGGGAAGACCATCCCTCTGCAAGCAAAATAAGTGCAAAGCACTAATCACAGTTATTACACAGACGAAGCCTAATGGGGAGAAGCCTGATCTGAACTGGCATGAGTCCCTACATTTTAGCAGATTTTTTTCCAATTAGGTGAATCTATCCTATGAAAGTGTTTAATATCCTAACCCCATGCCATTCCTCTATCTCTACATTAAACAGACTTTTCTGGATGTCAAATCTCTCTGTAAGGAGAATAGCCACAATCCATTCCATCACTTAAAATAAAGGTTTTAGTCAGAGGACTGGAAGAACCTCAGACCATTGATAACTGCTGTTGGGAACTGGAAACAAAATGCACATACTGGAAAGCTGCAAGACATCTCTCTGTTTCCAAAAAGAACGCTTTTCCCCTTTTTCCTGAACATGCCACACTGCAGAGCTAGCTTAGAGCTCTGCTGAGGCATCTGTCCCTTGCTGGAAGAGATTACATAAGAAGATCTATCAGCCTGCTCAAGTCTGGCAAGTGTACTTTCTGGTATGGGCGCTCCAAGGACTGCATTTTTCTAAGATGCTAGGGTTTTTTTTTTCTGTTTTGTAGCTATAAACTCAATATTACAGAATGGTTGAGGCTAGAAGGGACCTCTAGAGACCACCTAGTCTGACAATATTCTGCTTCCAAAAGACACTGCAGTACCAAAGTGAAGCTCCTGTTGGTGGAAACTGCGTAACAGCCCCCGGCGGGGTGTTGTGAGCACTGCTGTGAGCAGCTGAAGAGCAAAGGCGCCCGACACCTGAGCAGCTCCGCGGGGAAGCACCGCGATCTCCGTGTTCCAGGGCAGCGCTACAAACAGAGCCATGTGAACGGGCCCTCGTCTGAGCACGCAGCGGGTCAGGCCCGACTCTGCTGATAATGGCAAGGTGACCCTGGGAGAAGGGAAGCACTTGCCAGGCTAGAAGTCCTGGAGGCTTTAGACTCTCCAGATCCTTTTCTCAAGCCCTGCTGTGATTTAATTAGTCTGAAGCAGAGCCCTGGTGGCGGCTGCGGCTCAGTGATCGTGGTCCAGTGCTGTCACCTGCTGGCTGCCTGTTGTCCCCGAGCCTGCAGCTCCTTGCGGAGTGCAGCAGCAGAGCAAAGCCCAGAGGAGCAGCACTGCAGTCTGTGCTCGGCCCACAGTGCCCAGGAAAACTGCATTTCCAGCTCCTCGCTATTATAAACAGCAGCAGTAGAGGCTGCCTGTGGAGAGGGAGCAGGGAATCCATCAGGCTGGCTCTGCTTCTGGGCACTGCGTCACGGGGAGAGGCAAAGAGCAAAGGAGGACCAGCTGGAGCTTTACCACACAATAACGACATGGCAGGCTGCAGAGAACAGAGCAGGAAGCTGGATGGCTGCGGCTCTAGAAGCAGGGCCAGCTGAGCCCCTGACACATTATCACAGAATCAAAATTCACTGCTGTCCCCTTCCCTCCACTGCCTATTTGCCCGATTCCCTGTTTCAGGCCTGTATGTTCCTTCCTCGGTTTCCCCGGCCTTCGTACCTGTCGGATGGGCTCCGGGATCCGGTACTTGCAGCAGGCCTTGACGAGACGCACGGCTGTCTCCAGGGACACCCTATGGCCCACAGAGACATAAACGGGCTTAGTGCTGATGCGGCAGCTACGCAGGACCTGTGCATTCACAAACCAGAAAGATCAAATACTTAAGGGGCTTATTTTGAACAAATGCAAAGTGACAGATGAATTATAAGCCAGACAACCTGCTTTCAGAAAGGGTCCGCATCTGGCATATCCCAGTTTTCTTGATCCTTCCCAGTGTCTCCTCTCAGGGACTGTCTGCCCTTTTAGATCTCCATGACTGTGGGACTGCCCTGGGAAGTAGTGTGCAGATTTGCTAATGCAGACGGTGCTGAAATATCACTGAGTAAGGACATTTCCTAAACCTGCTCGCTTCTTGCGCATCGCTGTTCTGAGACATATGCTCCCGTTTTGCATCCTGGGAAATTGCTACAGAAGTGGCACCTTTCCTTGGCAGTGGTTCACAAACATGGCTGGTGGGGCACAGCATCTCACATGCCATAGCCACGGACCTGAACTGCCACCCCCTTTTTAAGGATTTCTAAGAACGCCTGAGCTGGCAGGATGAGAATAAAATCAGTGTTACTGGCTGTTCAGATCTTGTCTCTCTGAACTGGTATTGCTGAGACAGTCCCACGACACAGACAATGTTTTTCAATGCTTCCAGTTACACGAAGCTGAAAGGGTCATTCAAGGCCAGTTGGACAGGGAATGGCCCCAGCTTACCATGCCCAGGACATTCCCTGAAGTGCCAGTCAAGGGGAATGCATCTCCTTCCGTCTTCAGGGAAAGAATCTAGAGCATAAAAGCACAGAAGATTAGCTAGGTAGAAAATACTTTTATGCATCTGTCCCAGTTCTGTTTGGATGTTAAAGAGGAGAAAGAATTCTCAGTCTGGCCTAACCTGCTCTTTGTGCAGCTCATCCCTGGCCAAGCCGTCCACTTCCAGGAGGTTCTTGGCCACTCCAATGCACGGTAGATCTGTCAGGACCCCCAAGTGACAGGCCACACCAAATCCTGCCAACAAGGAGACACAAAAGCAGCATTTGCATGTTCCTCTGAAAATTCCCTAACAACAATGCTGGGGCCATGCGAGTCAGAAAGCTTTCTTGGGGAGAAACACTGTCACCTCTGAGGAACAAAGAATTTGAAAGAGAACCTCATGAGTTCCTCTGAGGCAAAGGTAAAAATTAACCTCAGATTATTAACCCATCAATATTAACCCTCCTTCCTCCAACCCTTATCTTTGGAACTTAATAAGAAGCTCTCTCGTGTGACGCAAAACGGCCAAGAACAGGAATCTCAAGTGACAGCATGGGACTGCAGAAGAGCGAGGCGAAGTCCTGCAGTCTAGTGAGGTCCTACCTCTAGGATGGAGCAGGCCATTCCCATCTACAAGCAGCACCTGGAAAGGCACAAAACAAACAAACAAACATGTTATTCTGTGCTGAGACACTTTAAAGAGCCCTTACAGCCACCTGTGGTCCTATGAGAGGAGAGGTCCTTGTTTCAATCCTTTAGAGTTCTCTCTATAAAAGCCTCCCCTCAGTGTGTAAGTTTAAATAACAGCGCCCTAGCAGCACGAGCTCTTGGTTACTGGCAGCTCTTGTCTTTGGGGTTATACGCAGAGCAGAACTGTGCTGCCTTGGCTCTGCACTCCTGGGCCCTGAAGATGCAATAACTAGATGCCTCGGTACAACCTGAGCCTTCCTCCCTGCCCGCGGAGAGCCGTGGGTGGTGCAGCTCTAAACCTTCACATCATCCCTGTCTGGGACAAACCACCACGTCACACCTGCGGTCTGAGCCCGGGCTTTCTCTGCTGAAGTCTCTGAATTGCTTCCACCAGGAAACGGACCTCTCGGAAGGCTAAGAATCCTGCTATGTACGGGGCTGTCACAGCAACCATCCAGCAATCCTCGTACAGCACCTAGGAGCACAGCACAGAGAAGACCATCTCCAGCACACACCTAGTTAATTGCAGGTGCCTCTCTTCTGGTATTTCTCTCCCTCCTGCTCTCTGCCGTGGTACTCTACTGCTTTCACCTCTCCCACAGAGATGCCGCTGGGCTGAGTCTGTCTGAGTTAGAGAAAGGGGCAAATTCTGGGTTGTGGACAGAAAAGGGCTGGATGTGTCCTGTCACGCCTCACTTGAGAGTGAAGTCCTTGAGAAAAGTCAAGGCAGCTCTTCAAACACATTGTGGGGAACCTCAAGGTTCACACAGTAGGCAGATTATCAAAGTACCTCTGCCTCTTTGTAGAAACAAGCAGGATCCTAAAAAAAAGCCTGAGAAACAGGATAGTGGCCAAAAAGTGTCCTTGTAGGACAAAAAAAAAGAACTGGCGCAGAATCTGAAAGCCAGTTCTTAAAAATCCCAGCGTTGATCAAACTGTTCCTCTGTTTGTGACAAGTTTTATAGTTAAAAGACAATTCTTGCGTCAGTTTGAAAACTGGAATCGAAGTGGAAAAGGGATCAAGTAGCTTTATTATTTTAAGTTAAATGACTGAGGGATATGGGATTCATGGCAGATCTGAAAAAGCCTAAGTTACACCTTGTGTTATTAGTGGATTACCAGCTAAGTCTCACAAATAGGACATCAGCCACCAGGATTGCTACAAATGCTGCTATGATATGTGCCAACAGTGATCCTTTGTGCTTCTGGTAATGATTTTGCCTGAACTTGACTATTTTCAATATTTATCTGATCATCAGAACATCTCCTTACTGCATTTTCCAATTATCTCCCGGCCGATTTTAATGCACACTAAAGCTACCCTTTGGTATCTCGCAACCTCCTTATGATTCCCAAGAACCTCCTGTGCTTAGCAGCAGTTCATATCACACATTTCCAAACCCATGTCTAGAACCTTACCCTTGTTCTTGCCTCTATATATCTTCTCTGCAGAACATACGGTCAAAAGTTTTGTTGAAGGCACAAGTGACAGCTCACTTGCGATGCAGAGAAAAAGCAGGTACCAGCCTCTGCGTTGGGTTTCTATAGAAAGCCCACGCACCGCTGCGGAGTGAAAGCGGCTGCTTGCCATCATTACCTTCAGGTCAGGGTAGCTGAGGACCACCAGGGACGCGCAGGCGCTGGTGTCATCCCCTTTGACGTAGGACAAGTCCACGCCTCCCACCCTCTGCAGTCCAGCAAAGCCCGGCTCTTTCTGCCACTCCTCGGTGTCCGCCTCGATCACGTCGGCCTTTAACCGGGTCTGCTCCCTAGGGAGGACGATGCGGCCGCAGTGAAAGGGGGTCCCGTGGCCCTCGTGCTCGCAGGGCCCCGGGGCCGAGCCGTGTCCTGCTGTCCCCCGATACGGCCCGTGAGCCCCCAACACATCCGCGCAGCCTGTGGGAGCCGGTGCCTCTGTCCAGGTGGTCCCGTAAGTCGCCGGGACCCTCATCCACCTTCCTTGGAAAGGGGAGATGTGGCTGCCCAGGCGCTGCGGAGGGAGCAGGCAAAGAGCAGCCCCTGTGCGAGGGCTGCCCAGGACCAGCATCTAGCGGCACCGGGGCTGTGGAGGGAGAGGGATCCACTGGTAGCGGAACCAGACAAGGAAAAGGATCCGCCAGCACCAGGCAGGGAGAGGGATCCGCTGGTAGTGGAAGCAGACAGGGAGAGGGATCCACCAGTACCAGGACTGGGCAGAAAGAGGGATCAGACAGTAACAGGGAGGGAGAAGGATCCACTGGTATCAGCCAGGGGGAGGGATCTGCTGGTAGGGGTATGGGACAGGAAGAGGGATCTACCGGTACCAGGACTGGACAGGAATCTGCCAGTAGCGGTACCAGACAAGGAGAGGGATCCGCCAGTACCAACACCAGCCAGGGAGAGGGATCCGCTGGTCCCGGAACCGAACAGCGAGAGGGAGCTGACAGCACCGGGGAAGAAGAGGGACCTTCCTGTAGCGGTACCAGACCGGCAGAAGGACAGGGCTGCACCAGGCCCGGACGGGGACGTTTCCCGCTCCACAAGGCCGGGAGCTCCCGCCACTCCCGGGCGCAAAAACGGGTCCCCCCCGGGCGCGCGTGCGCGGCGCCCGCCGCCATTCC